TCTTACGAATTTCTGGTACATAAAGGACATTATTAAGAGTCAACTCTTTTGCAGATGTCATCTTCAGTACCACTTTTCCCACTCCTTTGATGTCAGATGTGGCAGAATTTCTCATGAAGAGCTTTTCTCCATCCACAGTCTCGTCAAGGACATTAAACAATTCCTTGTTAGAGCAAACATGACGGGTAGCACCCGTGTCAATCCACCATTCATGTGGATTTGAGCCCACTAGATTCACCTCGGATATAACTGCGGCGAGGTGCATCTCATCAACATCTTTGGCCAGATTTTCCACCATGTAGGCTTCTTGAGTTTTCTTTGGCAACCTACAATCAGATGCCTTATGGCCAGGTTTATTACAATTATAACAATTTCCAGAAAATTTTTTCTTGAAAATTTGTTTCTTTGGCCCCATTATTGCCTTTCCATTATTGCCAGCTTTTTTCTTATTATTTTTGTTTGAGCTTTCGCCATGCTCAACAACATTAGCCTTGGCAAAATGAAGATTAACCATTTTGTTGTCGTAGCCCTTGTTGTCTTCTTCAATTCGAAGTCTAACAACGAGCTCTTCAACGGTCATCTCCTTTTTCTTATGTAATAAATAATTTTTGAAATCTTTCCAGCTAGGTGGTAGCTTTGCAATTATGGCAGCCACCTGGAAAGTTTCATTCACAATCATTCCTTCGGAATGGATATCATGCAAGATTATTTGAAGCTCTTGCACTTGACTGATTACAGTCTTCGAGTCAACCATCTTGTAGTCCAGAAACCGGCCTACAAGAAATTTCTTGGCCCCAACGTCTTCGGTTTTATATTTTTTATCCAAAGACTCTCACAGCTCTTTTGCTGTTTTGATAGAACTGTACACGTTGTACAGTGTATCAGCCAAACAGTTCATCACATAATTTCTACACAAGAAATCCGAGTGATTCCATGCATCAAGCGCACTAACCGCTTGAACATCCGGATTTTCCCCCAACTTTGGTGGATTTTCCGTCAAGAACCTCGCAAGGTTCAACGTAGTGAGATAAAAAAGCATCTTTTGCTGCCAACGCTTGAAATTCAAGCCATTAAATTTTTCCGGTTTATCAGCATGATTTACCGGAACAGAAGGAGAAATAGAAATTGTAGTAGCACCACCGGTATTAGCAACGCCAATAGTATTTTGTTCAGCAGCCATCTTTAATCGGAATCTGTTTTAAGATTGTAGGGAACTTTATCGGGAATATAAAAGTAAGATGGCTATAATAAAAAATACCGAGGCCTGTGAGAACACAGTGTCCTTAAAACAGATTCGCCCCGTATGAGCGTCTGTTTCCCAGGATACAACGGATAAACCGAAACAAATTCAGCGAACTGGAATTATGCCTGGACCAAAACACTTTAAAGAAAAAATGGGGAAAAGCTTTTAGGAATATAATGTTTTTCTTTTCTTGGTTTTTCATTCTCGTATCTCCCATCAAAAGAAGACAACTCTTCTTATAAAGGTTTAAGATACCCACATACATTAATACTTCATTAATTCAAAATTTAATGAAGTTAAGTTAAAGATTAATCTTGTAACATGAAACAAGTTACAAGTTTTGAAATGAAAGACACGGTTATTTCAAAATTTAATCTTTATGTTACAATTTAATTCACAATTTTCCAACAAAACTTTTAGTATGTCCTGGCAGGTTATCGATCTCCAATACGTACAGTCCCGGATGATGTTATCTCCGATCCCCATTCTCTCTTAAATTTTTCTGGAGATATAGAAATTGAGGGGAAAATCGGTCCAACAGTTGAAAAAAGTGGCACGGACAGCTGCATTAAAGACGAGTGGTGGGATGAAGCAGTAAAAGTTGCTGAACAGGTTGAGCAGATACAGAAAGCACTAGACATGGCTCAAATGGTTAGCTAAAACATCTCTTCTCTCTTCGCCTTAATCCTCTAAGATGATCTGGTTGTGTTGATCTTTTGAGACAATTAATACAGCCGACTTAACTTTTACAAAGACGTTAATATTAAAAATAAGAAAATGATTCATAATTTCATACATGCATGCAAAGTAAAGTTATCTGGTAGTTTATTTTGTATGAAATCATTGATTTGTTATATTCTTCATGAATATATATAAAAAAAAAAATAAATCAAAGTGGTCCAGTTTATAAAGTTGATAGCAACGGTCTGGTTTAAAAAAAAGGTACAAAAATGAAAATATATCTTTTTTCCAGTTTGAGAATGTTTATTGGATTGGAGGTGAGTTATTGTGTATTTCGTTTTTGTGGGATTGGCAAATGGGCTTTCCTTTCAAATTGAGCTTATTTACTAATAATGTATCTGTAGGTTTTGGAGGGAAAATTTCATCCCACTGCATATATTTTGTGTGCAAATGTGTGGACAAAAGTCTCGTGGACAGTACACATGGGTAGAATCTTGTTTTTCGTTTTGGAGATAATCCTCAATGTATCTAAGTAGTATGTCACAAAATTGAGAACGAGATATCATAATTTTTGTTTGATGAAGCAAAAAATTTATAAACGATTGAGGGATTTTCGTACCGTCTTCTCAATTTATTGGGTCATATTGTTCCATGCTAAACTAAATCCCTATTTAATGTCGAACAGGAGGAAAAGAGCGAGGAAGATGAAAATTGGTGGATGGCCGTCGAAAGCGCTGCATCCGAAATTGAGTCAACATACCTTCAGCAAGAAAATTTGGCCATTCGAGATAATATGCTGCTTGTGTAATTGAGATCACAAGTGTATCATTCATGTATTTGTTCACACGTCGGGTGTACATTACAAATAAGAGAAAGTTGAAAATAATAATTCTATTTATAAATGCATAGTCGCGGCGGGAGGCTAAGCGGCCAACAGTAAAAAATTGGTGAGAGGTCCTTTGGGATATGAACTTAAACGTGGTTCTTTATGCAGATTTTCAGTTTAGTCGAGGCTGAGGGATTGGCTGTAGCATGTTGTGTTATTTCTATGTTAGAAGCCTATAGGTGAGGGGACGCTAGAATTGTGTAATGTATATATATTTGATCGACTTCATCGTTAGTAATTATTGAAAATTAAAATATTTGTTTGATGTGGTATTCCGAAAGGCTTTCTGGAAATTCAGAGGATGTTTTATGAATGATAGAGATAATCATTGTTTTTTTTTTGGTAACGATGAAAAGATAGATTTATCTTGATGAAAAATTAAATCAAATGTATAAACGAAATATTTGTCGGGACAATCACTTGACCTGACTCGACTAATGTTCGGTCATTAAATATATACCCCAAACCATGTTACGATTCCTATTTATCTTTCACAAACGAATAACATAAACTTGTGATCAGGGATAAATAGTGGAGAGAAATTCTTGTTATTATGAACTTTGCAACTAGCAAATAAATAAGCAGGGCGATTGTCCTGTAGGCTATGCCCAGCTTCTCCCGACTAGTTGCACTGAGAGAAACAGTGAAACACAAACGTGCATGAATTTACTTTGAAATTACCTACGTCTCGGTCTGTCGAGCTTCTTTCTTTTGCTGGTACTTTTGTGTTCGAGGGAACAGCAAGTCGTTTAGTTGCCTCTCAGCACTATATTCTGATGAGGCCTGCAAAAGATGCATAAAGAAGAAAAAAAAAATGAGATATATGTACAATGTATATAGTTCATAGAAAATTGAACATGGTGAAAAGCTATTTATCATGCAGACTGTATTCTGATGAGGCCTGCAAAGCTATTTATCATTCACCTACACTCGCATAGAAACACACACGTGAACGAGAATCTTAAGGTTACACATAATAAAAAAAAGGGCAATGCTATATGTACACCCCCTTTTAATAAATTACACAAAGAAAAGTGCTATATGTACACCCCTTTTTTACACTTGAGGGGGTGTACATATAGACACCCCCTAAAAAAAATAAAAAAAAAAAAAGAAAAAAAAGCAATCTTACCTTCTTCTTGAAGCCAAATCGTAAGGTCTGAAGTTGGGTTCCGGAGCAAACTCGCACTTCAAAACCAAGGCTGTCTACTCCTATAAGAGCACACTCCTGACATAATTTCAGTTGGAAAAGTCAGAATCAATCAAGTACTGAAAACTCATAACATAGTAAAAAATTCTATGAGCTATCCTAGTTTTGTGGCTGCATACTAAGGTGGAAAAACACTCTCAATGATCATTGAACAAGTGCAAGGGTGTGTGGGACAATTAGGTAGCGAGTGTTTGAAGGAAAGGCCAACTCTTGCTGAAGGCCGTGTGTATGAAGAGCAACAGTGGAATAGAATGATCCAATCCCTTCCATTTTCTCGAAGCTTTTGATTTCTATACAGAATGAAGGGAACTTGATGCAATTTCTACTCCAGTCTCACTACTTATCGATTAATAGGACCAACTGTCATAAGTAGGGCTGGTAATTTTGTACCGAAAACCGTGAACCGAACCGACAAGGAAAAAAACCAAACCGAACCAAACCGCTTGTAACGGTAACCGAAAATTGGTTACCGAATGTTATCGGTTCGGTATCGGTTCCGAAACCTTAAGGATTCGGTAAAACCGAACCGAACCGATAAGGATAAAAAAAATAAAAAATAAAAAACTTAGTAGACTTATAGATATAGTTACAGATTACTTGTTTGGATAACATATTTTTATCGCACCATCGTATTTTGAAGTCAAATCCTATACGTTTAAAAAAGTCGAGAAAAACAAGGGTAAATAGGGGCAAGAGTGAAAATAAGAGTAAATAGGGGCAAAAACAAAAAAATAATCAACGTCTCCGAAAAAGCTTGTTTTCGAACACGGCACCATTATTTGATGTGAATAACATATATTTCTCCACCATCGCGTTTCGTAGCAAAATCGTATACATTTAAAGAAGTCGAGGAAAATAAAAGTAAATATGGGCAAAACGTAAAAATAATCAACGTCTCCGTAAAGGCTTGTTTTCGAACACGGCACCATTATTCGTTAATAGTGATTACATTAGGCTCAGTTTTTTTTTAAAAAAAATTTAATTCATTTATTTTTTTTTTGAAATT